CACACACACAGAAGTACTCATTCAACTCCCTGAGGAAACATAGGATGGGCTTTCTTTTAAATGTGTTTCTCACATGACTACTTTGCCAGCGATGTGCGGACGATTTTTCTGAAGCCATGTATGCCTTGTTTTTGCCATAAATTCATGTGGTACATAAGTGTGAGTTTGCCTTATTTTATTGGCAGAAGTTTTTAATACATAGACCTGAATTTTTAAAGTTCCTATAATATGTAAATATTGAACTAATTTCCATCAACTTCAGGAGCTTCCTTTTATACAGTTGCTAATGTCACAGAGTTGTATTACTTCAATACTGATTTATATAATTAGAAAAGTTTCTTGTTAGTCAAGAAATAAAAACATGTTTCCATGAGCATAGCTTGAAAATTGGCTTTAGTTTCCAAACTGTGGCAGCTCCTAGTTTCATACTCCCCCTGTTTACTGTAAATCAGTAAGTGAAGACTTTAAAATGTGAGCAAAGTGATTATTTGCATCTATTAAAAATAAGAAAGCCAAAATTCTTCATAATCCCTATGAGGATAGCAGTATTTGATTATGATGTCACAGTCTCTCCAATGAATAATCTGATGGAAAATAATTACTAGAGACCAGAAAAGAATTTATGTTCATTCTCTTGTCAGATGTTAAAGAAGACTCAATTGTGAATTTAAGCTACAGAAGTGAATTGTATCAGACAGTTAAGAGTGAATCATTTTGGATTAAAATATCACCTGAGTAGATGATTGATTGTATTTTACTTCTTGTAAGAATTACCCCACTCTAATGAAGTTATAACTCACTGTTTTCTAAATTCCTATAGGAATGAGATAAAATCCAATTAGGCAGTGTATGTAAATAATTGCAGTACAACTGAGAGAATTGAGAAACTTTTCCCCCCTTTGATAACAGAAATGTTGAAGAGGGAATAAAAAAATTATTAACACAAAGGACACAGGGTTGTGTTTTCATTTACTATCTTTGTTTTCTTTGTTATAGTCAGAGGGACAGAGGAAGCAATAAAAGCAACCAGATTTATTCTGAAGCAAGATATAGATAAGAATTAAGCGTTACAAATTAGCTCTCACACCTCGGCACTCAAACATCAACCCCTCATAGTAAAGGGGCAACTTACAAGAAGTTCCTATCATTCTGCTAGGAATCAGTACTCTGACAATGAAAGAAAAAAAAAAAAGGAACAATGATTTTAGCCTACATATTCATGCAAAACTGTGAGGTACCTGGTTACCAGACAACGTTCTGGTTTGTAAGACAACCTTTGTAATGGAGTTGATAATGAAAAGTAGTCTAGTAGACA